TCTAAACATCATTTTTCGAAGAAATGTTATGATGACTTGTGTCAACTTATGAAAGAGGTGATACCTATCGATAAGTGCATGTCAAAAGACTTTTACGAGTACAAAAAAGGTTGATAGAGCCGATGGGTTTACTAGTTTAATGGATTCATAACTATATAAATGGTTGCATGATTTATTGAGGTGAAGACAAGCGAGAGAATTACTTATAAAATCTATTACCATCCTAATTATTGAAATCCTAAGTGGGGATCGATTAGAGAAACATATATCCCGTATAAAAAAATGTATTATTTTCCTCTAACCCCATAGTTACGGAGAATATATGCATCAAGTGCTACAGCTGGTGACATGACGTGGCATACCGAACATGAAGTTGAGGTAGAATTCATGCATCATTGTTCTGACTCTTTTGCATGATAGCATTTTGATCAAATACATCTTTCTTTTGCATCGAAATTAGGAACATCAGCTTAGAAGTCTACACTAATGGGTTTAAGCATTTTAGTCAATTTGGACAATAATATTCTTCATGGCCTATAATTGTAATGACTTATAATTTTTCATCATAAAAGTGTGTATGAAGAAAGAATATATGTTTTTAACTATAACTATCCTAAGATCTAAAAGTCCAAAGATCAATTTAAACATGTACCTCCAATCCTTAATTAATGAGTTGGTTGAATTGTGGAAAGTTGGCGTGCTTATCTATGATGTGTCCCGTAATTAAAATTTCCAAATGTGAACTGAAGTCATGTAGACAATCAATAACTTTTTTGTATATTTAATGTTATTAGGTTGGAGTATTACGAGTAAAATAGCATGCTTGTATTGCATGAAAAAATCTAATGCTTTCAATTTTCGTAATGGTAGAAAAACTTCTTGGTTTGACTATCACCATAAGTTTCTACCACAAAGTCATCCTTTTAGGAGGAACATGAATGCATTTAGGTGAAATTCAATTGTCATAGACATTGCTTCACCGATCATATTTAGAATAGAAATTTTGCATGATATACAAAATTGAAGGTTGTTGAAAGTCATGAAAAAAGGATCTAACAAGTATAACAACATTGTATCTAGAGTTTGTAGTTGGAAGAAACATAGTATATTACGGGATCTTTCTTATTGGAGTTTCAATTTAATTCAGTACAATGTTTATTTGATACACATTGAAAAATATCTTCGACAATGTATTTAATACAATTATAAGTGTGTAAAGAAAAACAAAAAACAATGCAAACCCTGTAGAAGACTTGAAAATTTATTGTCAATGGTCGAATTAGAAACAGATGAAAACTCTAAAAAATACCCTAAAGTGTGTTACACTTTCGAAAAACAATAAAAAATATAATTGCTTGAATGGATTAAACAACATAGCTTTCCCGATAGATATGTATCGAATTTAGCTAAATGTGTCGATATGAACAATCTCGGATTACATGGCATGAAAAGTCATGACTGTCACGTATTTACGCGAGGTTAATACTGTCGCATTGTTTGACCTATTACTAGAAAATGTTTGGCCAACACTAACCTAGTTGAGTTTATTTTTTAAGGAATTGACATCTACTATCATTAAGGTTAAAGATATGAGCCACTTGAGATAGAGATACTTTTAATTTTATGCAAACTTGAGCATATATTTTCATTGAGCTTTTTTGACCTAATGGAACATTTTTCATTCCATTTGGATTGTGAAGTAAAAATAGCAGAACCAGTATAATATCGATGGATGTATCCGTTTGAAAGGTAAATATATTGATTTTGAATCCTTTATTAATTTTTTTTTAAATATTTATTAACAAACATAGTATATAACGTAGGTGTGTTCAAAAATTAAAAAGTAATATAAAGAACGAGCCAAAGTTGAAGGTTCAATATGCAATTCATATTTAGTTGAAGAAGTATCAACATTTTGTTCATATTACTTTGAGCATCATGTCCATACTAGATATCGAAAAGTGCCATAAAATTTTGAGTTTCCTCGAGAACTAAGTGATGACATTAAAGGAATGCTTTCTATATTCAAACCGAAAGGTCAATCTCTTGGTCAAGCAAAATCACATGTGTTGACGGATAAAGAAAAGCTTGCATCTTATACCTATATTTTATTAAACTATGATAAGGTGACACCTTACACCGAGTAAGTAAAATTTCAATACCGAACTTCATTAATTATCAATTATTTTTATTAAATACAATAAAAATCTTATAACAGCTTTTTCTTCCATAGATATTTCATGAGCTAACTTTATCAAAGTAATCTCGACATATTGAAGAATGATGTTGATGCTCGGCTTAAAATTGATTTTGTATCATAGTTTCGTTGACATGTGAGCATCATAAATTTTGAATTTATTTTGTTATTACAATGGTATTATGACATTTCATACTAACATTAACTAATGGATCCGGACTTTACGAGCAAGTAATGCACTACCTAATATGATAACCGACCATTACATTAAAGATCTTGCAAAAAAGCTATTACGAACAATTAAGTAGTATCCGAGATACATTGTGAATGGGTACAAGTTTCACACTAAAGGTCATGATTCGAATAGAGCAATAATGTGTAGTAGAGTCCGCGTAAAAGGAGTTAGTTTGAAGGAAAATGACCATTATAGTAGGTTGATTGATATATTAGAACTTGAGTATCATACCTTACAAATCAAGAAAACTCGTATCGTTCAAATGTGATTGATATGATACTACACCTAGTGTTGGTACAAGAGTTGATGATCGGTACGGACAAGTAGAAGTAGAAGTAAATAGTCGTAGGACATCAAACGGATTTGATCCCTCGATCCTATCAACACAAGCGCATCGGGTGTATTATGCAATATATCCTACATCGAAGCTTATCGAGCGCAATTGATTGGTTGTATGTAAGGTAAAACCCCATTTGGTGATGAATATGCCCGAATTATATGTTACGATCCAAACAATTACAAAACCATTTCAAGAAAACAAAATAAAAGCCCAATACGAGTGTCATCCAAGTTGATGAAGATGAAGGTTAGTCGTTGATTGATCCAACTAAAATTATGCGAGAGGCGGTTCATCCACCGATCCTTCGATTGACGATCCCACCCATCCTCCGACCGACGACCCTATCAATCGCTCCTAACTTTTATGTTTTCTTTTTTTAAAAAAAAAATTAACATACTTTAAAATAATTTGATGTTTTGATATATTTTTTATTTTATTGAATTTTATATATTATAATAGTTTCGTACTATTTATAAATCTTTTTTATGGCATTTTTTTAGTTGTTAAATTGGAATAGATTAATTTTTCTTCTAAGCGATGAAATAAATAATTGCAAAATAAAAACATTAAATGAATTTAGCGACGATTTATAACCGTCACAAAATTACAATTTAGCAACGATTCTAAAAAAGTAATCACTAAATTTGTCGCTATTTAGAGACCGATTTAGCGACGAATTCCACAAATAGTCACTAATTGTGGATAATTTGTGATGGTATCGTCGCTAATTAGAGATGTATTTAGCAATGGTTTAAAAAATGGATGTTAAATTGTACAAATTTAGCGTCGATTTATAAAAACCGTCGCTAAATAGCGACGAATTTAGTGACAGCTTTAAAAAAAAGTCATTGATTTATCAAAATTTAGTGATAGTTTGGCCATCGTTAATGACTTAGCGACAAGGCTTTTTCAAACGGTTTTAAACCATCGCTAATTCGTCATTAAAAACTTTTAGTGATGGTTTTTTAGCATTTAGCAACGGTTTAAACCATCACTAAATGCCTTTTTTTTTTTTTTGTAGTGGGTGGACAACATGGAATGTAATCACAAAATGCATTTGTGTGATATATCTTTCTGTTCCTTTCTTTAATTAATTTAACTGTCACTTAAAAGACTATTTTGGAATATGGTCCCTGCACTTGTAATGCAAATTCCCCAACACGATCATAGAGTAGAATATTATTCCCACCTATCCATCCACCTCCATCTGTTAAGGAATTTTATAATCCTATCCTCCATTTACCAAGAATCTAAAGGGAAAAAAATAGTGACATAAAAAAAACAAATCAACGTGGAATTTATACACACATGGTACGTGTTGCAAAATATCTACATGGACTAATAAGGTCAACAAAGATTCAAAGGTGTGCTTAGTCAGCTTAGACTACAATTTAACCTGTCAGTATTGCTATGCCCTGCCAAAAACTTCATAATTTCAGCGCATGGTCATGTTTGATATTCTGTTCATCAAGAAGAAAAACAACAATACTCCGGGATGATTTCTCCTATCCAAAAGGTACATAGACCAGGATGTAAAAACTACCGAAACCAATTACGAGCCCTAGACAATGTAAATCTCCTTATACAGCATAAAGGACTAATCACATAATATTGCAACATCATACACATAGATTTGTTAAAATCAACGAAATGATTTGTTAGATGTTATTAGATAATAGTAATGTACGAGAAATATGCATGGATATAGTATCATGGTGCTTAGTGGTCAAAATCTAAATTTTGGGCTGTGACCATTTAATAGAAAATTGATTGATCACATCAAGAGGTCCTCATCACAAGAAAATATGTTGATTATGATGAGATGCAGTTTATTCAAAAAATCTCAGTATAAAGGAGTTGCACTTAAGTTATTCTCTACATGAGCTAGTGGGGTATAAACGTAAAGCCTCTTTATGGAAAGATATGTATGCGTACCTCTCTCTCTCTCTCTCTCTCAGTGCTACCACAGGAACCTGCTTTTCATCAAGGCTTACACTGCTGCACCCAATGATCCCCTCAATCATATCATTTATATACTTCTTCGCTTCCTCATCTCCTTCTCTGCAACAACCACCTTAACCACCTCCCTCCCACGTACCTCCGTACGTCTCTCCCTCTCCCTCCCTCAAATGGCTTTTCAATCATTTTTCTTCTTTTCTGTGTTACTAATTTCTCTTACCTATCCTTTACAAGCCACCAGTCCTAACCAATCTCAGTTCTTCAATCTCATGAAAGGTTCTCTGTCAGGAAATGCCTTGTCTTATTGGGATGTTGCGGGAGGGAAACCATACTGCAATTTCACAGGAGTTGGCTGCAACAGTCGAGGATATGTTGAAAAGATTGATATAACTGGGTGGTCAATCTCTGGCCGTTTTCCATCTGGAATATGCTCTTACTTGCCAGAGTTACGTGTTCTTCGTCTGGGCCACAACCGTCTCCATGGTGACGTCCTTCACAGCATCGTCAACTGCTCTTTCTTGGAAGAGTTGAACTTGAGCTTTTTGAATGCTACTGGAACATATCCAGATTTCTCACCATTGAAATCCTTACGGATACTTGACGTGTCATACAACCACTTCACTGGCGAGTTTCCCATGTCAGTAACAAATCTGTCCAATCTTGAGGTGCTCAACTTCAATGAAAACGATGGCCTCAACTTATGGCAACTGCCGGAGAATATTTCTAGGTTGACAAAGCTCAAAAGCATGATCTTGACAACTTGCCTGCTGTATGGTCCGATGCCAGCATCAATTGGAAACATGACATCCCTTGTTGATCTGGAGTTAAGCGGGAATTTCCTTACTGGTCACATCCCTGCAGAGCTCGGATTGTTGAGGAACTTGCAGCAACTTGAGCTCTACTATAATTACCACCTTTCCGGCAATATACCCGAGGAGCTTGGAAACTTGACAGAGCTTGTGGATTTGGACATCTCAGTCAATAAGTTGACAGGAAAGGTTCCAGAATCTATATGCCGCCTTCCCAAGCTTGAAGTCCTGCAGCTTTACAACAACAGTCTCACAGGAGAAATCCCGAGTGCTATTGCAAATTCAACAACTCTGCGTCTACTCTCAGTTTATGACAACTCTCTGACAGGAGAAGTGCCACAGGACCTGGGGCACTTATCAGCTATGATTGTCGTAGACTTGTCAGAGAACCGTCTATCAGGGCCATTACCAACAAATGTTTGCAAGGGAGGTAAACTGCTCTACTTTCTTGTCCTGGATAACATGTTTTCTGGAGAGTTACCTGATAGTTATGCAAAATGCAAGACTCTTCTACGGTTTCGACTGAATCATAACCTTTTGGAGGGCACAATACCTGAAGGACTTCTAGGCCTTCCTCATGTTTCAATTATTGATTTGAGTTATAATAATTTTAGTGGTCCAATTCCAATTACAATTGGAACAGCGAAAAACTTGTCGGAACTCTTTGTACAAAGCAACAAGATTTCAGGTGTTATACCTCCTGAAATATCAGGGGCTGTCAATCTGGTAAAGATTGATCTCAGCAATAATTTCCTGTCTGGTCCCATACCTCCTGAAATTGGCTATTTAAAGAAGCTAAATTTACTGATCTTGCAAGTCAACAAACTGAATTCTTCCATCCCCAAGTCACTATCTTTGTTAAGATCTCTCAACGTTCTTGATCTTGCCAACAACCTCTTGACTGGAAGTATCCCTGAAAGTCTCTGTGAATTGTTGCCAAACTCCATCAACTTTTCAAACAATCTTCTCTCTGGTCCAATACCACTCTCACTGATAAAAGGGGGTTGGTGGAGAGTTTTTCAGGCAACCCAGGTCTCTGTGTTCCGGCCTATGTTAATTCATCAGATCAAAGTTTCCCCATGTGCTCACAAACATACAATCGAAAGAGGCTAAATTCTATCTGGGCAATCGGGATATCAGTAGCTATCCTAACTGTAGGAGCTCTCCTGTTTCTAAGACGTCGATTCAGTAAAGACAGAGCTGTCATGGAACATGATGAGACCATGTCTTCATCATTCTTTTCCTATGATGTAAAGAGCTTCCACCGAATAAGTTTCGATCAACGTGAGATCCTTGAAGCCATGGTCGATAAGAACATAGTGGGCCATGGAGGATCTGGGACTGTGTACAAAATTGAATTGAGCAGAGGAGAGGTTATTGCAGTGAAAAAGCTGTGGAGTAGGAAATCGAAAGATTCTGCTTCGGAGGATCAACTGCTTTTAGATAAGGAGTTGAAAACTGAGGTTGAGACTCTGGGAAGTGTGAGGCACAAGAACATAGTCAAATTGTACTGTTATTTCTCGAGTTTCGATTGCAGCCTGTTGGTTTATGAGTACATGTCAAATGGGAACCTTTGGGACGCCCTTCACAAAGGCAGGATCCATCTGAATTGGCCCACCCGTCATCAAATAGCACTTGGAGTTGCTCACGGCTTGGCATATCTCCATCATGGTCTCTTGCCACCTATCATCCACAGAGACATCAAATCAACTAACATCCTGCTAGATGTTAACTACCAGCCCAAAGTTGCAGACTTTGGCATAGCCAAGGTTTTGCAAGCCAGAGGAGGGAAAGACTCCACCACTACTGTCATTGCAGGGACCTACGGTTATTTGGCCCCAGGTATTGCCTAATCCAACTTAATCGAAACTTGGTTACGTATTCAGAATCATGAGAAAATGTTCATCGATCGTGCAAATGCATTTCTCTGCCGGCTCACTAAAATGATTGTTGTACCATCTAGTAGCTGCAGCTGTCAAAGTTCATATGTTTTGAATTGCATTAACTAACTTCTTTTATAGTACTTTGCACTGGCAGTCACATTGCGATGAATTGTTTTCTTCTTAAACTATAATAATCTAGTTGTTTATTTGTCAACTGTTTTTATTCAATCCAATTTTGCTCGTGACAGAATATGCCTACTCATCTAAAGCAACAACCAAGTGTGATGTCTACAGTTTTGGAGTTGTGTTGATGGAATTAATAACTGGGAAGAAGCCAGTAGAGGCAGATTTTGGAGATAGCAAGAATATTATATATTGGGTTTCAACAAAAGTGGACACCAAGGAAGGAGTGATGGAGGTATTGGACAACAGGTTATCAGGCTCTTTCAGGGATGAGATGATTCAGGTTCTTCGGATTGCCATCCGATGCACCTGCAAGACCCCAGCCCTTCGACCGACCATGAATGAGGTTGTCCAGTTGCTGATTAAGGCAGACCCGTGCAGATTAGATTCTTGCAAGTCGTCAAATAAGGCCAAAGAGAAAACAAATGTCACTAAAATAAAGAACCAATTTGAATTATGATTGCAATAGCAGCATGGTGGGGTTGTAGCTAGGTAAAGTGATATAGCGACTCTATAGAATAGCATTGTCTCTAGAAACTATTGAGAGACTTGTCATAAAGAGCAACTTACTCTTCTTCTTTATTTTTTTCCTTTTCTTTTCTTTAACTAAAGACTAAAGTAGCTTGCAACTTCTTCTCTCTCTCTCTCTTCTTTCTTTTACTTTTTGTTTTATAGCTATTGTAAGTTTGAAGAATTTAATCAATATAATAGCTGCTTTATAGTTACGCATGCACAGCATCTATATTTCATCGACCCACAGATGAACTCAGTCTCCGTATAGCTTTCAAGAATTTTGTTTTTTGCTCTTTACCTTTTTTCTTTTTATTAATTTCATGAGAGTGATCCAAAGAAAAGAGACTATAAAAAGAACTACATAATTGCCTAAGGGTGGAAGGTTCTTATTCGCAGTTGCAAGGGGATTCTTTTTAGCTTCGAAGTGGAATCCTGATTCTGATTATAAAAACCAAGCCATGATTCACATTGTAAGGGTCCACTTCAGCTGCCATGCTATCCACTGCAAACCTGCAACCGAAAATTTCTGGTTGCAAATCTACTCTTTTTCAGTAGTGAATGGAACAGATTGATTGATTAGAATCTTTGTCTCCATTTAACCCATGGAAAGAAGACAAAACAAAAAACTTTAATTCTCTCTCTTTTTCCGGTTTCTTCCTTTACCAAGTACTGAGTTTTTGATTCATTGCTTTGGTGCAATGGATGTGTACGTAAGAATGGAAAAAAGGAACCAAGCTTATTTCGCCGTAGATAGTGAGCCAAGAACCTCCACTTACTAAAGGTATTCTGAGGGGGAGACAGGATTTTTCCATTTCTCTATAATGCATTTCAGCTAAATATTATATTGCTAGAGTTATGATGCTCTAACAGGTAGCTCTTTTATATGTAGACAGCATTAACGTGCAACTTGTAATATTTGGTTTTTGAAGCTATTTTCATTCGTTTACCATAACGAAAAATTACTGTGGTTTTTCCTCTTTTTTTTTTAATAAAAACAGAATTTAAAAATATATGTGAAGTTAATCTAAGGTTTTATTTGGTATGACATATGAAAACTTACTTTTGACTTTGGATTATAATTCAAAAGCTTTTTTATATATAAATAACTTACGATAAAAATAGTTAAATTAAAAATATATTCGGCAAAAGCTTATTCAAAAAGCTGATTTTTTAAATAACGAAAACATTTTAAGTTAAAATCAATAACTCAAAAGTTAAAAAAAATCTCAACTAAATTTTAAATTAATTAATTTGTAACAATATTTTGATTTAAATCAAAAATTATTTTTGAAAAATATATTTAAGATTTTTTTACGTATCAAAATTATATATATATATATATAAGAAAAACTTAAATCGATTTATAAAAATCATATCAAACAAAACCTATATGATCACTTGCAATCCCTACACATCCAAATGGGGCTTGCGTGTGCAGGTGCATGGATTGATGAATTGTGAATAACCATAGCATTTCTCTTGTTTCTTTAGCAGGTATTCTCTAGTTTAAAAACTTGCAATAGGAAACCACTTGCTGTGGCGCAGTGGCCAATGCCTGGGGCCAAGGGGTTTGCTCCCTCTGTGGTCTCAGGTTCGAGCGCTGCCTCCCACATGCAGTGGCCACTGGCATCTTACATGGTCGATAATGTCGGGGCCCATGGGATTAGTCGGTTGACGCGAAAGCTGGCCCGGATACCCATGTTAATCTAAAAAAAAAACTTGCAATAGGCATGAGAACATGTGCACATGATTGCAATTGAGAATGCGAAAATGTGTGTGCACAACTACACGTGTGGACATTTTTTTTCCACTCAACTTTCAGGAGTTGGTTGCGGGGTCCTTGAAAGAGGAGGAATAAGATTCATGGAGACAAGTTTTTTTTTTTTTTTTTTTTTTTTGCTTTTGATCATGGTGGAGAGTCCACAAAAGAGAAGTGCAAAACTTTTTTATGGAAGGAATAGTTCTGGGACGATATGACAGGGTATCAACTACCAGTACATGCTTGGCTATTATAAGAAGCAATAATCCAGGACAGACATGTCCTTTACAGGTGCACGAAGCCAAAGATCAATAATTGCAAACTTTTCTTTGCAATTTAGATTAGCATATTGAATATGAAAATCTTTTCATATTCTTAAATATCTGCTATGTTAAATATGCATAGGTATAATCTTCAAGTATGTTTTACTTGTATATTCCGTCAAATTAGATTTCAAGCCAAGGTTTGATTTTGACTTGTAATAATTAGTGTCTTGATTATACTATATATAGGATAAATAAACATATGTTATATACCATTCAATAATACTTTCTTACAACATGGTATTAGAGCGGTCAAAGTCCTTTTACTTCTCTGATAATATTTGCATGAAACCCATTTCTTTTTGTTTTTGACACACTTGGCTGAAGATACCCAATCCCAAAGCGATAACACTTCCTTCATGAATAATCCATCTAACACAGACACATCATCTATGCCCAACTAAAATTTCTTATCACGTTTCTGTCTTCACTCTTTGGATAGCTCGGGTACTATCCTAGTTTCATGCTTGTTTAAGAGAGATAATTTCCCGACTTGAAGACGTGCTACAGTGAATGCCCTACGAGATAAAAACAAATATTCTTTAGTTGATGAGACAGTTGAGAAGTCAAAACCTAAATCCTCAAATAAACCTGCTTGGGTAAAGTGCAACTCCATAGTGATATCATAAATTTTCAATTCACTCGCTTCAGATTTGCACAATAGTGTAGATTATTTTTATTCAGCACGTGAGCTCTAGGTTGATTTGGAAAATCAATTCTCACCAAAAAAAAAAAAAAAAATAGTCCTCGAGTGCATGAGTTGAAATATGACATTGTGATTATGCGACAAGATAACATGATTGTTGCAACCTATTATACAAAGAACTCAGGACTTACTCAATTGTTCCTAAATGTTCTTGTGGAGCAGCCAAAGGATTTCAGGTTGAACATAAACGAGAAAAGGTTTATCAAATTGTAATGGGATTGAGTGACAAATTTGCTTTTGTACGATCTATATTCCTAGTATCGTGAAAGTCTGTGATCTTGAAAACACAAGAGAAAGAACAATCTTTAGTGGCAACTCGACTCCCAGCCATTGAGGCGGCACCTTTTAATGTTAGAAGCTCTAAACAGCTAAACACCAAGGCAACCAGAGGGCAGATAATGATTCTGTCATTCAACAAATTTTATTGGGAGCATTGCAAGGAAAGTGGCCATACGAAGGATAAATGCTATTAGATCATTGGTTATCCATGTGGATGGAAGAATAGGGGAGATCTGCAAGAGTTCGTCCAAACCCAATCAATTCTGTTATAAGGGATCGTCCAGCTCCAATCAATTCAGCAAGAAATGCTATCATAAGCCAATTCGAAACTTCATTTGTTTCTGTAATTAATGGTCTCAAAAAGGAACAGTACGATCAGTTTTTTTTTCTTGTTGAATCTTTAAAAAGCAAGATTCTCTAGCCAACTTTGCTGGTAAGACAACACAATCTTCCTATGACAATCATGATTGGGTCCTTGATAACAGAGCTTTTGACCACATGTCTCCTAATAAATCTATCGTACTTCACTCATAGTCTTTTGGTTCTCTCTTACCTGTTAGATTGCCTGTTAGATCAGATTTACCTATTAAAAGGCATGGTTATGTTTCACTTTCTAATAACCTTTGTGTTGTTCAATTGCAACCTTTTTTTCATAAGCAAATTAAACAGAAATCATAATTTTGTCGTTCTTTTCTGTCCTACCTTTTGCATCTTTTAGGATCTAGCCACGAGGAGGCTGATTGGAATGGGTAAATTAAATTACGTGATGGTATCTATTATTTTAAAGAGCTTCACGTTTCCTTTGTTGTTGCTAATACTCAAGCATATAAGCATAAATCTTTAGCATCAATGTCAGGAACACTTGTCTTTTGTGTGTCTATATCTCATTCATGAACTTTCTGTTTTTTCTTTTGAAGATCTTGAAAATTATTGTGACGTGTGTCATCAAGCTAAGAAAACTCGAAGTGTTTTTCTTTTAAGTTCCAATAAATCTCATTTAATTTACTGTGATATTTAGAGGTCATATAAAACCTCTTTTTTCAGGTGCTAATTTCTTATTAAGCATTGTTGATGATCGTTCTCGTGCAATTTGGGATTTTCTCATGAATCTTAAATATAATGCTTATCACTTTTTATGCTGTACTAAAGACTCAACTTAACTACTACATTAAACAGGTTAGGAGTGATGATGGACATGAATTTATATCAAATCAAATGCATTTTTTTCCAGCAATATGGCATCGTGCACCAATCGTCTTATGTAAACACTCCATAACAAAATAGAGTAGTTGAGCGTAAGGGTCGTCATTTTTTCAGAAGTTGCTTGTGCTTTGCGTTTTCAAGCTAATATACCTATCAAATTTTGGAGTGAGTGTTTCTAATAGCTGCTTATTTAATAAATTGTACGTCTACACCATTATTGTCTCGAAAATCATCATATGAAATTTTATTTTCTAAGTAACATTCATACTCTCATTTAAAAATATTTGGATATCTCTTTTATGATCGTGAACCCAATTAAAAGACAAATTCAATACTTGTGACAAGACTTGTGTTTGTGTTGGTTATCCTTATGGTCAAAAAGCATCCGGCATTTATGATATTGAGTCTAGAAAAATTTTAACATCATTAGATGTTATTTTTTTTTCAAAAAAAAAAACATTTCCTTCCTCTTAAACAACAAAAAAACCAATAGACATTCATAAGGTCTAGCGTCATATTATTGTCTATTATTGATGACTCACCAGTTACGAGCATTTTAGATAACAACCAGCCATCTAATCCTGGACTTGACACGACATCTTCTTACTTAAATAAATGACAAAATATAGAAGACACAACTAAAACACCATCAGACCTTCTTATTGAACCAGAACCTACACCATGTCCTCAAAGGAAATGTCGTCCTCCTAGAAATCTTTAAAATTTTGTTTACCAATTGCCGTCCTCCAAGAAATCTTTAGAATTTTGTTTACCAATTGCCGAGGATGATTTCACTATCTACTCCATATTCCAACTCAATCTCCTCATGTACTCATCACACTCTTTATAATTCTTTATCATACTCTCTAGCTTTTTGTTCCGTCTCATGTTGCATTTTTAGCAGCCATTGCTATTAAAGTTGAGGCCAAAATGTTTTCACGAGCTGTGAGGGAATCACAATTACTAGACTCAATGACATATTAAATTACAGCATTGGAGACAAATAAAACTTGGACATTGGAACCTTCCTCTATTGGAAAAAGACCAATTGATTTCAAGTAGATGTATAAGATAAAATATATGACACCATTGTGAGATACAAAGCACTTCTTGTTGAAAAGTTACACATAGATTGAAGATCTTGATTATAATGAGACGTTCTCTCCAAGTTGCTAAACTCATCATTGTTAGGTGTTTATTTACAATTATAGGAGTTAAAGGATGGCAACTTCACTGGTTAGACGTGCACAATGCATTTCTTCATAGTTAACTTCATAGAGAAGTGTATAGTCTCTACTTCTAGAGTATTTTAAACCTAATAATACTCGCGTTTTTTGCCTTAATAAATCCTTATATGGTCTGAAATAAGCCTTTTGACAATAGTTCTCAAAATTTTCAACAACTCTACTTGATTTTGATTTTCATCAATCCAAAATTAATCCCTCATTTTTTTCTCTTATGTATGGGTACCACTTTTATTGCAGTTCTTGTCTATGTTGATGATTATTATAGCATGAAATGATTCTTCTTGTTGCCAAACACTCTAGACTTATCTTCATACATATTTTCATATCAAAGATTTAGGCTTTCTTAAGCATTTTCTTGGTATTCAGATTGCTCGCTCTTGAGATGGGATATTGTTGTGCCAATGAAAATATACAATGGACATTCTTTTTTAACATAGAATGCTTGGTTCAAAATTTAGTTTCTTCCCTACAGAACAACAAGATCACCTTTACTCTTATTCAAGTCTTTCTATACCTGATTCAGGTTATTATAGAAGGTAATTGGTCGTCTTATCTATTTAATATTATCATGTCTGAATTGACATGGTTTATATTTTGAGTCAATCCATGCAAAATCATCGTCAAGGTTGTTTAGATGCAGCCAAGAGAGTCCTTTGATACTTAAAAATCGTTCCAAGATTAGGTATATTTTATCATCTTCTAGACTCTAGAGTCTTTGCTTACATGCTTTTTCTAGATGCTGATTGGGCAGCATGTTCGATGACTCATCGATCCATCACCGAATACTTCACTTTACTTGATAATTCTCCCTTTTATTGGAAAATTAAGAAGCAAATGACAATCTCTTGGTTATCTACAAAGGCCAGATACCATTTTATAATATCTGTTATAGGTAAGCTCTTATGACTTCATACTTCACTGTTTGATTTTACTGTGTCTCGCTCACAACCAATGGTCATGTATTGTAATAGCAGCACTTCATATTGTCAATAATCTTGCTTTTCATAAGGAAGCCAAGTATATTGAAATTGACTATTATTTTCATTCAAGATCACCTTCTTGCTAAAGACATTGTCACTAGCTGCATGCCCATAAAAATGCACGTTGCATACATCTTTACAAAACCTCTCAATCATGATCATTTTCAAGTTCTATTAATTAAGTTAGACACTCACAATCTTCATACTCCAACTTGAGAAGTATTGAATATTAAAATCTTTTCATAGTCCATAAATTTTTGTTGTATTAAATGTGCATAAGTGTAATCTTCATGTGTTTTTTACTTGTATATTTTGTCACATTGGACCTTATTAGTTTCTTGATTTTAGCTTGTAATTAGTTATATATAGAGAATAAACAAACTTACTTTATATAGCCTTCAATAATATTTTCTTTCGACAAAAGTCATCAACCATTGCTTTCATTTCTCAATATTGCCACCCAAAAACAAAACAAAGAAATGATGAAATGATTAACTTTCACTGAATCACATAAACTGTGCGGTTAGAGTAATTGAGAGTTTGACAAGAATCCCTGTCTGTACCACTTGGAATCTGGCTAGTGGAGTAATGGTAATGCCACTCTAAGCTTGTAACAGTAAATTAGTAGTTAATCCAACAATTATATTCTAGCTTAACATTGTTGACCTTAGAAAACAAATCAAAGTAACGAAGCGTGATGATAATATAATCATTACTAGGTCGAATAAACACATAATATGAAGTCTGAGCAAGGAGAGAAAATCGAGTTGATAATATATACCGATAGCCTCTCTGTCTAATGAACATGTCCATGGTGGATTCCAAGTGGTGCACTTCAATTAAAGAAATTTTTATTCCACGATCAAGACACATGAGAAGTACTGTTGTAACGATGTCTATTAAAATTATCCAGTTGGCTCAACTGGACTCTCAATATACACGAGCGATTACGTAATTTGGAGAAGTGAATGTGCATTTCAGGGTTTAAGCTGGTTTACTGTTAGAGATGCGTTTAGGCAATTTTCCAAACACGTCATGCTCTCTGCAGATCAAACCAAGAGAGACACTAATATCTATCTCGTAATGAAATCTAAGCATTTAGCACCCAGGCCCAAATAATCGGCCTGTGACAAACTCCTCATACGAGGAGTACCGCCCAAATGTTGTTGGAACGAGTGCCTGTTATAGCTGAGGTCCCAGGTCTTTGTGGGCTAAAGGGTAGCCCATTCCGAGTTTTGTTAAAAGTCCAGATCTCTCTGTTGAATGATGAATGCCAGTGCTATTGATAGGTTAAAGCCTGGGCTAGGGACTAAAACTTCACCAAGATGGGTCCATGATGAAGTTGGCCTGATCTCAAAAGGAAATATAGCAAGTTCATGCACGGATTAAGCTCACATCTCTAGGGATTTACAGCACTCAAATAAATATCTGCAGGTCCTCAGAATCGACAATGCCAACATCACGTATTGCATTGCGGGATTCGCATTTATCATTTTGTCTAGCGTACTGGAGGATTGAAATTTGAAATCTTTATTGCCCTCTTGACTCTTCTTTCCATCCCGTTGACTTTGAAGTTCAAACTTTGACCCAAATCTCATAATGCAACGATCAGCAACTGATCCATCCGTGCCTTATCCGAGGAGACACGCCATTTTTCTTAAATGTCCAGTCTACGCGAACAAATGACAGGATTCAAATGAGATTCACAATTTGGTACTGATGTTACCTTGTATTAATACATTTGTGATTGACGCTTGGCTCAACGAATCGTTGTTGTTTTATTTTTTGTAAGTATTGAACCATATAATATATTTAAGAGATTCCATCTTCTTTTTTCCCCCTCTTCCACTAACAAGGACGAAATTGGATAAACTTGAAAAAATCATCATGCCTTCGTGACTTGGAGCCAACTCACTTTTTTCACCACCCTTAACTTCTTTTTCAAACGCGATATTTTTTTATTTTTTTTATTTTATCTACCATGTTTGCAGTTAATTTTATGGGTTTTTTTTTTAATTTTTTTTGAAATGGAGTTTTGTGGTCTTCGCATGAGATTGTCCATTTCATTTGGATTTAAATTTAGATATCCTATATGTTAAAATAGATCGTATTAATTTAACCTATATCTTTATTCTTTCGACGAACAGGTATGATTTTGCTTTGTTTTGAAATAGACAGAGTTCATCTTTTTTTTATTTTTATTTTTCTTCGTATCAAATTAACAATATGAGTATTTAATTTTAAAAACAATGTTGGCTTTAGCCAACATAACTTTTATTGTTATCCTTACGTTCAGAGGCTGGTATTAACAATTCACTGAGACCTGGAAAAAAAAAGGTTGCCGTCAGGATATCTCAATGGAAGGAAACGTGGCTACTGATAAGTTCAGTAATCGTCCAATTAAGCATTTAACCTGCCTACGCTACCACAAGTTTTAGAGAACCTCCGCCACATATTTGAAATCTATGATAGGGATATGCTTGTTGGGTTTTCAATTTCCGGATTCTCTTGTTTGTCTTTCTTTAACTTCAACTTCCATTTCAACCCAAGAAACATATACTAAAACTCAAGATGCATCACTAGGAGATTAGTACATAAGTATTTGTTATATCGTTAATAAAATGACAACTTAGAAATAGACAAATTAAGGTAGCAAAAAGTCCAGCAACCAAGGTTCAACTACAAAGACAAGTTTGAATCCTGGCAAAACTGAAATAAAAACTTAAACAGAAGTTGTATAAGCCAGCAGCACATGCATGCTTTATTAATGGTCCACAATTGCTTTTCCTTTTTCCCTTCCAAATTGTTGTTAGAACAATGAAAAATGGGAGGTGTTGGTAGAGGCTATTTTTGTCGGGTTAAGTGTCCCCATCCTTCCGAGTCTTTACACCGCTGGAGTTTCTAGAAAAAAAAAAGGATGTTTTTTTTTTTTTTTTCCTGGTTTTGATAGTGAAAGCATCCTTTTGTTGTGGCTTCTTTTAATGTAACCCAACCAGTGACGTTTAAGGCACAACAGCTTTCTGTTTTTTTTCGTCGGCCTTTTAAGTTTTACCTTCTCCCTGTCAACAAAGCAGAGGGCAGAGGGTAGCGGGCAGAGGGCGGCTACATACTACTAAACAACAATATTTACTCGTATTTAACACTGATTAATTACGCCCATCTACCTATCCGATAAAGAAACCATACTTGTTTCTTTGAATGTAGTATAAACAGGTTTATCTGACAGGCAATTCATAAAGGTATGTTTATTTGACAGGCACAAACATACCATACCTGCGTCCTTGGAACAATAATTCTTTTGTGGGGTCTTCTCTCTGATTCGTGTTCTTATAGGCTCCAAGCATTTTGGCCATCTTACATTGTCGAACATCAATGAAACTTTATTTGTTAAACTCAGAGATTTAATTTGTTATTTGCTGGATGCCACCATCAAGATTCAACATAATAAAGTTCATTAATGTTTTGCTGAGTACAGGTAAACCTGTACAGTATTGGCAGTGTTATACTGTTATTGGCGTACTCTCTTAAAAGTTCAACAGTTAACATTATCGACCGCCACAAATCTTTGGTTGGAACCAGACAATACGACAAAATGTTACGGGCTCAGATAAAATTGCCGAAACGTACAGAACAAGAAAACAGATGCCCCAATTTAATAGTTAACTTTTACCTTGAGGCAGTAGCTTTGCTTTACGTGGAACTAAATATCTTAAGTTCATATTTAAGAAGAGGAAAATCACAAGAAATAACTTCTTTGGATGTACAAGTAGAGATTTGAATGTTCGACATACTAATTAGGTAAAAAGAGATTTAGTCTCCTTATTGAAAATTAATCCATAAATACCCTATTTTTATTAAAAAACGAGAATATTTAAAGGACAAATTACATTTTTACCGTAAGATTCACCCATTTTTCATTCATGATCCTGCGGTTTAAAATTTTTCAGTGTTATTTTTATATTCTTTGAACGATTTTTAATTTTTCCCTATTGTTAAATAATTAACAAAATATACGTATTTTTTTCAAATTCATCGAGAACTTGATTAGGTCTTGGGTTATATTGTTGGAAATCTTAGTTTTGATCAATAATAAGTAGTGTGTGGTTAAATGAAATTTGAAAATGCTTGTTTTCAAATGAGATGTATTTCAAATTCAAAAAAAATGGGAAAAAAAAAAATACACTTCAACAAAATTAAACCTGTCGAAAGGTTTCAAATATTTTGAAGGATATTCCGTTTTCATCTTCAATTCTGTAATTAATATACAATAAAAGCAATTTCCTCCAGTGCGTTATTATAATAACTACAAAAACTGCATTCATTTGGATATTTTACAATATCTTATAAAACATTTTAAAACCTAAAAAAATCAAAACTAGATTTAAAAGATAGATTATTTAATGATTAGGGATAATATACAAACCTTTTGCAAACTTTAAAAATAGAATTACAGAATTTAAAACCAGGGCAAAATTGAATGTTACCCCTTAACCCATTTTCAAAATTAAAATATAATGGGGTCATGATGTTTGCCTTATGGAGGATATAGATTGTAATTCCTAATGCCACTTACACGCTAGTAATTTTGTTCCGGTATAAAGACTCTATACTAATTTTGAAAATTTACAACTTGTCTAACCAATTAAATATCCGTGTATAATAAAATATAATAATCATACTCTTAGTTATTATTATTATTATTTTTATTCTCACAAATAGGAATTTTTTTCTTACCATCATCATGTCATATACAATGGATAGTACTAGTCAATTGTCTATGTTACGCTACAATTCCTCTTAAACAAAATCATTTTAAAATTTTTTAATTATTTATTTTTTTCTAATGTTTTTCATAAATTTTTCTTTTACAACAATATATAATTCATTCTTTTTTATGGGTCGATTCTAAATAAAAAAATATAATAATTTTAACTGAAATATTAATCAAGAATTAAAAAAAATTTAAAATATATTTTTTATAATATTATATTTCAAAAAATAAATTTATAATTAATAGATATATTTTTATAAAAATCAATGAAAATTTTTTATTTTATGTTGACGAGGAGATTAATTTTTTAAATTATCTATGTAACATCATAGATAGATAGAACAAAAATCATTTCAACATTTTATAAATTTTCATTAGTTTTTTTATTTAATTATTAGTATTTTTTATGTTTTTCATAAATTGTCTTCTTAAAAAATGTGATTCATTCTTCTTTATTCATAGATTCTTAAATAAAAATTTGTAATAATTTAAACCTGAAATATTAATTAAGAATTCAAAAATAAATACTTTAAAAATATTTTTTATATATAAGATTGTATCCAAAAAATAAAGTTACGAGTTTAATGTATAGACTTTTATAAAAATTAACTAATAAAAAAATAAAATTTGACTCTTATTTAATGTTGGTGAGAAGATTATTTTTTAAAAAAAATATATGTATTTGATCTATATTTATCTATTTACATAACCAATATCATTAGCATAAAAAATGTATTTGAATAATTAATTGGTTCCTTTAAAAAATTATTTTAATTATTTTATTGTCAAATAAATTGATTCTATAATGTTAAAAAATATTCATAGTAAATAATTTGCATTGTGTTGGTAGATATATAATTGATTTTTAATAAAAAAAAATTATTCAATAGTTTTTTTATACATCTTGATCATATTTAGTGAATTGAGATAAATTATCCGAAATACATTTTTAATCTTTTAGAATATATATATATATATATATGCAACTATCATTTAAAAATTATAAGAATTTCATTCTAAGATTAAAATATAGAGAAAAATAAATTATATTTATTAGTAAATAAATTTTTATACAAAAAATATTAATTAGATGAGAATTTTCATTAAAAAAAATGTGATAAATTCAAACAATAAAATTTAAATAATAAGAATAATATACGTCGAAGTAGATGTTAATTTTAAAATATAAAAGATAGCATGCATGCATACACACACACACACACATGCTATGTGAAAATGAAAGACAAGTGAAAGTTAAAGGATTGAAAATAAAAATTACAACATGAAAGACGAAAATAGAATTAAGTGTTAAATTTACCTAAAAACACATACAAAAATCACTAAAAATCACACAAAAATTATTTAAATTGGCATTAAGTGAATAATAATTTTATGCATATGGACAATAAATGAACATGGCTTTTAAACATATGAAAAATTTATGGACAGTAATTATTATTTGAAAAACCCATATATATATATATATATATATTTTTTTTAATTTTCAACTCAACCATACGAAATTACTCAAAACAAATTGCAGAAAAACTATGATTCGTCATCTAACCATAAATTTCTTCCCTGGACGTGATCACCACCCACAATGAATGTTAAAAAGAGGGAGAAGATGCTAGATTAGACTTTAAAACTACTAATAACTATTGGAAAGACTTTGTTTAGTGTAAATTTGGCTAGCTGGGGACCTTACTATTCCATCACATGGCATCATCTTTCATTTCAAGTTGTTTTCCAATCCTTACCAGATTGAATTAAATGTGTCTTAATTGTAAATGAAATCAACATTACTTGTTCGGCTATATATGCATCGGCAGCCAATGGTGCTTTCAACCCCAAAACAGAAAAGCTGACGAACCTCGTCACCAAACGGGTCTTTCATAGATATGTTCATTTTTTGCTGTACAATAATTGACACGCCACAATTTCAAGGGATGCCATCATGGAGTAACTCGTAGCCGATAAAGATGGCATCATTCATTTTTCACGCTATATGAAGCAAATTACTCAAAATAAGAAAGTAACTATATATAGACCACAAATAGAATGATTTTCTTCTCTAAACCAAAGTCATTTTTCATTGTAACTAGAGTTGGATATCTAATACATCACAAGAATGCCTAGTATTTTTCACATGGCCCTAGTTTGAAATTTAGTAACATGTGAATTTGTATCCTATGCTATCTCTGTTTTTGAGTTCGAAAATAATGTAAAAAATAATTTATCATAAATTTATTATTTAAAGTCTAACTATGATAAATCTCGGATTCAAACGGGATGGAGTTCCAAAAAAAAAGAAAAAAACCATATACTCAAGTGATAAATGGTGTGCACAAATTAAAAATTTAGAAAAACTGTAAACTACAGTCTTCAATAACAAAATACAAATGCACACAAATGATGCCGAATGCAAGATGCCCTCCGTTACCAAATCGCAAATGCAAACTTAGTAAGATCTTACGTCACTTTAAAGTCCAAAAAACACAGCTGTGATCGTCAGGTTACATGTCAACGAAACACAACAAGCAACCAAAATAAAACTCTTGCTATTTTCACTGGAATATTAATGCGCTAGTTAATCAAGATCATTAATTGATCCCTACGTTTAAACTTGGAGTTTACTTTAAAATTGTTATTTCAACTGAAAAAATATTCTTAATCAATACACGGATTATATGTATCAATAAGTTGTCGGTCAATAATAAATGAGTTGGTTGTAAATAAATTTTTTATTAATATATAAAATTTAAATTTTAAAATTAGATTTATTGAAAAAAAATTATAATGCATCATTGAGATAGAGGTAATTAGTCATATTTAATTTTTAATACAAAATAGAAATATCTAGGTAAAACTAAAAAGAAAATGCATCTCTTAAAAGCCGAGTAGGAAAGAAATTTAATTTCAATATAAGAAAATTGGTTTTATATATAATTTGGTCTTTTCAACATCTCGAACACATAGAGCGGAGGTGAGGAGAGAGAGGGTTGGGGGCAGAGACAAAACGGTGAGTGTCATAGGAGAAGAGGAACAAAAAGAAAGTTGAAAATGGCTCTTCACCGACCTTCCCAAATCCATTAACCCAAACCCGATATTGCCCTGCCAAATCACCCAATCAAATTCCCTTTCTAGTTTAGACCCAAAAGAAAGCATTTCTCTTTCTCTGTCTTTCTTTAATTACTACTGTCTTCATTTCCTCTCTTTATTGCTCTCCTTCTCTCTTTCTCTATCTTAAAAACCCCAAAACCAGACAAACCCAGAAATAGAGCAGCTGTATCTCTATGTGTTTGTTGGGCTTGGCTGGGCTGCACTGTTCTGCAATGGCCGCTGTTTTATGTGATGGCCAAGCTGTCCTTGGTCACCATGGGCTGCCATCTTCCTTTGCCTTTGTTAATCAAAGGTCATTTTGGCGCTTTCCTAGATAGAGAGAAGAGACCCAGTTACAACAATGTAGGTGCTTAAAAGGCAGACAGGATGGAGCCAGGCAAAAATATATACATAGATTTTCTCTCTCTAAAAATTAAAAAGCAAAAAAAAAAAAAAAAACTCACACCCCTCTGTTGTTAT